TCTCCGTATCACCCACAAACTGACGGGATGGTGGAACGGCTGCATCGGACCATCACGTCCATGCTGTCCCAGCAGGTGTCGGTATCCCAGACGGATTGGGACCTCCGCATAGCCGGTGTGTTGCAGGCCTACAGAATGGCTCCCCATGCGGCCACCGGATTTTCCCCTTTCTTTTTAATGTATGGGCGCGAAGTTAACCCCCCTGTGGCGACCCAGCTGAAGCTCTCGGCGCCCCAGGCGAAGTCTAATTTGTCCGAACACGTTAAATTTAACATCGCTCAATTGTCTGAGGCGCGGGAAGCGGCCGTGCAAAATTCTGAACTCCGCCAGAAGGCGAACGAGAGGCTTCGGTTGGGGCGGGTGCAGGTGGTCAAATGGAAACCAGGGGACAGGGCGTGGTTGCACTGTCCCCAGGTGCCGCTGGCAACCTCGTCAAAATTGGTACGGCCGTGGCGGGGGCCAGTGGAGGTCGTACAGGTCTTGCGGCCGCAATGTGTTCGCGTCAAATGGGGGAGGCGCCGGTGGTATGTGCACCCCTCAAGGTTGAAACCATTCATTGCGCCGCCCCGTGGTTCACACACACACACGCATGGCCAAACGTGTGAGGGTTCCGCCGACTCCCCGACGTCGCTGCACTCGCCTAACCCGACATCAACTGTTCCGTCCCCAGGCGCAACAGGAGTGACGGGTCCACACCCACCAACCCCTCCCGGAGGGGTCGGGGGTCACTCGGCAGCGACGCCTGACTCTCTTGCACCCGGACCGTCAACAACCGTCACTGAGCGTGCCAGGACGGGCCCTTGTGACGGGCCCGCCGCGAGAACGCGCGCCAAAACACGCAGACTATTGTGAGGTCGGCCGTTGGGGGGCCTTGCGGACAATGGGAGGGGTGGCGTCCGGAGTGTGTGTATATATGTTGGTTTTGGGGTATTTATTCGGGGGGGGTGCGTCGGGTTATTTTTTTTTTCTCTCTCTCTCTCTTCCTGTTGTTGTTCTTGTTAAGGTTCTCTTGTTCTTGTTAAAAATTACGCGAGGCACACACACGGGGTTTTCGTGAGGGATGCACCTTTATTCTGATTTTTTTTGCAGCCAGGGACGGCTGCGAGCTGTACAGGGGGGGGTGATGTAGAGGTGTAATTGCGCATGGCTACGAATGTTGAGGTGTGATTATGCATGGCCACGGATGGCCAACAAACACAAGGGGCGGGGTTACGGCCGTACACAAGGGTGGCGCTCGCACCGACGTCCGCATGTGTATCCCCCACGGGCCCCCCCTCGGGGGCGAGTCCTATAAAAGGTGATGAGCTCGAGGGCTCGAGGTCGGGACTCAGCTTAAACCAGAGAAGACGGAAGACCAGCTAGTGTAGGCCCCAGAGCTCCCCTGGCTCGCTGTCCTTATAAGGGCCGACCAGGGCAAGCCGGTGGCGTGGCCCCGAGAGTCCAGACGAAGCTGGTCTGGTGACTCAGGGAGCCGGGATCCCAGCTTAACCAAGCTGGGACAGATAGCCTCCCCTAGTCCCGTAGTGGAGGAATTGGTATAGGTTAGAGGGGTTAGCTGTCGAGAATCCCTGTAGCCAAGTGACCTGTAATAAATGTGTTGGTGTAATAAATAAGTGTGCCTCCGATCCTGTCGTCAAGCCTCCATATATACTTACTACACGTCCAAAACAAGGAATCCAGGACTAGCGGGGTCTGTCTGGCCGGGCGAGATCGCGTGGACATTGTGGTGGTCGTCATTCCCGCCAACGCCCCAAGCAACCAACTCAATTCGGGTGGTCCCGCGAAACAAAACGTGCTTCCGAGTTGCTGCTTCAGCACCGAGTTGCTGCTTCAGCACCGAGTTGCTGCTTCAGCACCGCGGTTGTGCGTCGGAGAGCTCCGGGGGCGATCATCGATCATCCGGCGGCTGTCGAGGGGGCGAGGGGCGTGCCGGGCTTACTAAAAACGCCAGATAATCACATCCTCGTTATTAACAATAGCTTATGTTTGCACAATTTGTATGACGTCATGGTTTTTAGGTTGTTCTATGTTGTTTTGTGTGCAATTGGCATAAACAACAGACACTTAGACAGGAATAAATATCCTGTAAGAAGTGACTATTTACTGTACGGTAACTTACCACTCCAATCTCGAAGACTGCATGACGGGGTGATGTACACGGTGCAGTATTTTTATTGTCAAGTCGTATGTAGTGTATAATGTACCGTATGTAATATGTAACACTGACATCGAGCACACCAACTTGTTGTGTCACGCACGCGATGCCGATAGCCGCACTCGTTACAACGGCCTTTGGATCGATTTTGCCGCTTTTGCCGGAGCGGCCCGCGACCGCCGAATAATGTTGGGAGCCGGATAATCGCGTGCCGGATAGTCGTGGATCAACGGTAAATCCACGTAGATAATTCTGGTACCGTGACGTTTCTCTGGTCATGACATTATGAATATAAATTGTTTAAATATCTACAATGTGCAATTAAAAACAACGTAGATAGCCGCCTCCGGACGGAGACTCAGCTGTCCGGGTTGTTTTGACCATACTTCACCGCGCTGGTCACTGCGGCTGCAAGGGAATCGCAATGCTCTTCAATCCATCCCAGAGGAGAGCGTCACGGGGGGGGGGGGGGGGGGGTCCCGAGCCGCGTTGCTTCAGAATCAGAATCATTATTCACAGTGCGGGAGGAGGAATCCGATGAGCTATAACGCTCTTCTTCCCCACAGGTGTCCGGGTCGGGGCACAGGGTGGGAAACGCTGCAACACCGGGGGGGGGGGACGTCTCCACCGCGGTGACGAGCCGCCACTGACGCCGAGCTGCTGCTGCTGCCAGGGCGGCCTCTGAAAGAGGCGACTTCGTTGCAGCTCAGTGGTGGGGCCTTAGGGGCCGTCCATAAATGACGTCACGCAATTTTGGACGATTTTTGACCCCCCCCCCCGTCACACGGCGTCACAAAAAGTCAGACCTCCACCCTCAAATATGACGTCACAAAGCTCTGCCCCCGCCCCCCAAACCATATTTCCATTTTGAAAATAAAACATGCTTCAAATCGCTTTAAACTAGTGTCATTGTAGTGCGTATTTAATGTGGCGCTGCACTCTGTTGTAAAAAAAAACATTTATTAAAAAGTCTATTTAATTAAGTAGAACGTGTTGTCTATTTATTTTAAGTTGCGCATTTTGATGTGACGTCCCATTTCTCCCCCCCCCCCCCTCGTCGCACATCGTCACAAATGTCTGACCCCCCCCCCCCCCGCAGGTGCGTGACGTCATTTATGGACGGCCCCTTACTTGGTACATTAAAATAAAAAACGGACAGCCGAGCTTTGACCAATTCAAGTCATGAGCACCGCACAAAGGATGGATTCAAGAATCCATCCCCATATCCGTCAACCCATACGGCTTACCCGTATTCTTGTACAGGGAAATACAAAAATTCAGGTCCACACGGCGTTCCTCTTTCTCCCTCGTGATGGGACTTTGTCGGATGAACGTTGACGAGGTCCGAATTGGCCTGTAATAAAGTCGGCACCGATAAGGGATTGACAGGAGCGCATCCCTGGATTGAGAATCCCCGGCGACGTCGCGGCCACGAAGTCCTCGCCGCTTGGCGTCGCCACGCAGCCTCCTCCGCCGCCTCCACACCCTGGCGGCTCGGCCCACGCCACGCGGTGCACTCGGCGTGTTCCGGTCGCATCAGAGGCACCAGGGTTTGGAGCGGGTGGGGCGGTGACAGCAGAAGCAAGTGTCGGCGAGGGACGTTGACAGTCGCGATCTGAAGCTTTCGTGACTGCAGGGATCCACACTCTTTGGTTCTTGCGGTAAAGTCACGTGCAGCAGCCCCTTTTGCCCACGTCAGCAATTGTCTCTTGCTGCTGTTGTCCCACCTGATGACGGACGCTTGTGTTGCGCCCGAAACGTCGAGATTTATTGTATTTTCTACCTACGTGACTTTACCGAAAGAACCAAAGAGTATGGACATTGACAGTTCAATGAAGCGCAGGTGATCACAGCACAGATGCAGAATCGCCCTGAGAACAGACATCTCCACGCACACTTGTGAGTTCAGACGAAATGTTCAACAGCAGTGTGGCTTGGGCACCGAAACCTCCCGCTGAGCCTCCCGCACTCTGCACCGTGCCGGCGGAGTGCCTTCGTTTTGGCTCCACGAGCCCCGAGAGAAGCCCGCAGGAGTGAACCACATGAACCCACAGGAGTGAACCACATGAACCCACAGGAGTGAACCGCATGAACCCATAGGAGTGAACCACATGAACCCGCAGGAGTGAACCGCATGAACCCACAGGAGTGAACCACATGAACCCACAGGAGTGAACCACATGAACCCACAGGAGTGAACCGCATGAACCCACAGGAGTGAACCGCATGAACCCACAGGAGTGAACCGCATGAACCCGGAGGAGTGAACCACATGAACCCGCAGGAGTGAACCACATGAACCCGCAGGAGTGAACCACATGAACCCGCAGGAGTGAACCGCATGAACCCACAGGAGTGAACCGCATGAACCCACAGGAGTGAACCACATGAACCCGCAGGAGTGAACCGCATGAACCCACAGGAGTGAACCGCATGAACCCACAGGAGTGAACCGCATGAACCCACAAGAGTGAACCGCATGAACCCGCAGGAGTGAACCACATGAACCCGCAGGAGTGAACCACATGAACCCGCAGGAGTGAACCGCATGAACCCGCAGGAGTGAACCACATGAACCCGCAGGAGTGAACTGCATGAACCCACAGGAGTGAACCGCATGAACCCACAGGAGTGAACCGCATGAACCCACAGGAGTGAACTGCATGAACCCACAGGAGTGAACCGCATGAACCCACAGGAGTGAACCGCATGAACCCACAGGAGTGAACCACATGAACCCACAGGAGTGAACATGAACCCACAGGAGTGAACATGAACCCACAGGAGTGAACCGCATGAACCCACAGGAGTGAACCGGCAAGAAACCGCAAGAGGCTGCACCATCGAGGAGCACGATTTATTGAAGTCCGCGCCGTGGGGACGGAAACACGGGGACCGGTCAGTGTGGAGCGGCCACCGCCGGGACACCCTCGCGACGCCACAGCCGGGGAAACTAAACGCGGCACCAACGGGGCGACGTACGCGGCGCGACGAGCGTCCGGTCCAAGACGCGGCCCGCGGCCCCCCCCTGCTCCCGCCTTGCAGGAAGGGGGGGGCTCCGCAGCCACGGCCGCTCGTGGTCCGCTCCGGCCCCGGCAAATCGACGTCGTCCGGACGACCTGCCGGCCCCGGCAAGCGCCCACGCCCGCCGCGGCCCGCTCGGTCCGGCCGCTTCTCTTCCATCGGCTCCGGCCCCCGTCACCGTCCCGACCGCAACGGCCTCCGTCCGCGCCCTCGATCCACCGGCCACCCCGTTCCGGACTCGCCGCCGCTCCTCCATCGGAGCGACGCTTGCTCCGCGCCGCTTCGCTCCACGGCCGCTCGACCGCACGCCAAGCACGGCCGCTCCGGCGCCGACGGCTCTCCACTCCGGCGTCCGGGCCGCTCCCAACCGGGGCTCGCCGGCTCGGCTGTTTCGCCGCCGCCCCGGAGGATGTGGTCGCTTCATTCGCCCTCTCGTTCCTCGCGGGTGCTCACACGCACACACGGGGGCGAGGGGGGTGCCTTGGCAGCCCCCGAATCCTTTCATCGACGTCGGTCTCCGGCCCCCCCGCCCCGCCCTGGTCCGCCACCTCCACCGCACGACGTGGAGTTGCGTGCGGCACTTCCGAGACATTTTGCATCGGGGTGGAAAAGAATCCCCCGAAGGCTTTCGCCCCGCCGCGGTCGCTCGGGCGTCGTCGTCGCCGGCGGAGGAGGTGCAGGTGGCGACGGCGATGCACGAGCGTCGCCACCGCCGCTTCTCCCCCCCCCTTCTCCGCCACGTGGCGGTGACGACATCCGTGGAGCGAGACGCCGCGCGGTGGGTGGGGGGGGGGGTCGGGCGTCAGTCCGAGTCGCTGGAGTCGGACGTGGGGTCACCCCGCGTCACCTTGCTGCGGTGCAGCATGGCGCGCTCGTACGCCACCTGCACCGACTTGCGGATGTTGGATTTGCGTCCCTCCAGCATCTTGGCCTTGTCGATGGCCTGCTCCACGCCCAGGGCCACCAGCTTGGAGCGGGGCAGCCACTGCCTGCGCGCACGCAGTGGGGGGGTGGCACACGAGGGCAGCGTCGCGGCCGACGGCGCACGGAGGGGACGATGAGAAAGGTGGCCCCGTGTCGCGTACGCACGGCAGCATGACCGCCACCATCACTACCACCATCATCATTACCACCATCATTACCACCATCACCACCACCACCACATCATCATTACCACCATGATCAACCACCACCATCACCACCACCACATCATCATTACCACCATGATCAACTACCACTATCATCACCACCACCATCATTACCACCATCATTACCACCACTGTCATTACCACCATCACCATCATTACCATCATCCTCACCACCACCATCATTACCATCACCAACCACCACCATCATCATTACCATCATCATCATCACCACCACCACCATCATCATTACCACCATCATCATTACCTCCACTACCATCACCATCATCACTACCAGCATCTCCACCAACTCCACCAACATCACGACCACCATCAGCATCACCAACAGCATCTCCACCACCAGCAGCAGGGAAAAATATTCCCCTCTATACCCATACAGATTGTTGGGGCGAGGGCTGTTAGCGAGCAGCACATATGAAGGCTGACAGGGCACATGAGGGGGTGGGGGCCAGCACCACGCCCTGCCACCTTTGTCTCCCCAGTGGCGATGTTTACACACCACACCAGGTAGTCATGTGAGGCCGAGTCGACCTCGGGGAGGCCCAGGACCGGTTCAGATAACCGTCACCAGCGCACTAACCGCTACACCACCGCTCCCCACACACTCGCACATGACAGGGCATGACGCGGCAAGATGACACGGTGCAGAAGGCACTGACCGCACAGGAAGGGAACACCGTGGTAGCACACACACACACATTTGAAGTGCAAGCTCAAGACTGCCCGCAGACGGCGCGCTCGTGCGGCAGGATTCACGCCGGCGACTTAAGACGAGACGCCCTGAGAATGCTCCCAACTCGAGGTTCCGCATTCGTCCTTTTGTTATTGTCCCGTCTCCCCCACGGTGCGAGCTGTAAAGCTCCGTCTGCGTTTGGACATCAATAAAGCGGAGTAAATTACGAAAAAAAAAGTGGAATAGACAAAGAGGTGAATGGGTTTGTTGAGGTTGGTGAAAAAGACGATGGGAGGGAATTCCAAATGAGAGCAGTGTGAGGGAAAACAGCAGAAAGGGAATAGAAGTGACCTGCAGTGTGGTGAGTGCATGGGTGAGTGCCTTGGTGAGTGGGTGAGTGGGTGGGTGAATACCTTAGTGGGTGAATCTGTGAGTGGGTGGATGGGTGAGTGCCTTGCCGGGTGGGTGGATCAGTGGGTGGGTGGGTGACTTGGTGGGTGGGTGAGTGGGTGGCTGAGTGGATGGGTGAGTGGGTGGGTGAGTGCCTTGGTGAGTGGGTGAGTGGGTGGGTGAGTGCCTTGGTGAGTGGGTGGGCGAATACCTTAGTGGGTGAATCTGCGAGTGGGTGGATGGGTGAGTGCCTTGCCGGGTGGGTGGATCAATAGGTGGGTGGGTGACTTGGTGGGTGGGTGAGTGGGTGGCTGAGTGGATGGGTGAGTGAGTGGGTGAGTGCCTTGGTGAGTGGGTGGGTGGGTGAATACCTTAGTGGGTGAATCTGTGAGTGGGTGGATGGGTGAGTGCCTTGATGGGTGGGTGGATCAGTGGGTGGGTGGGTGGGTGAGCGACTTTGTGGGTGGGTGAGTGGGTGGGTGAGTAACTTGGTGGGTGGGTGAGTGGGTGGGTGGGCGAGTGATTTGGCGGGTGTGGAAGTGGATAAGCGAGTGGGTGAGTGTGATGATGAGTGCGCACGGTGTGGTGGATGACACAAAATAGCGAGCGTCTGGTGGAGCCCTAAGCTTGGGTGGAAGAATCAATGGGGAAGTTCACAGGAACCGTGACCACGGTAGTAGCGATAGAGGAGCGCTGAGGAGGAGGCGGCTGCCCACCGATGAGTGAGCGAGTGAGTCGGTGAGTGTGGGATCATCAATCAGCTCGTCTGCTTCACTCTGTCGTGTGCGGCAGTGAGGATGGAACTGGGTGCTGCACCCCAGATTTGGCAGCAGCAGCAGCAGCAAGACTCCAACTGAACCTCTTGGCGGGACCCCGGGGTCCCATGAGCCCCCGGCTCTCGCATCAACTGCATTGCGACGTCATTCTATGTCTGTTGAAGGCGAACGAGACGGCGATCTATTCCTCTCGACGAGCTCGACACGACGCGCTAATCAAAGTTTCAAAGTTTTGTTTCTTCTGCGCATTTGTCCTCGCTACTGCGCTTGGACGACACGACAGAATGACAACAGAATGATCCGCGCCAGGCGAGTCGCGGCGTTTTTGTGCGCGGTTTTTGACTTCTGTTTATTTGGGACCCCGGGGTCCTGCCACAAGGTTCAATTGAGGCAGAATGTGTGCTCTGTAGCGCCATTCCACAGTAAGACACGGAGCCTGCTGCTGTACCACGCAGATTGACGGTTCGACCGCGAATAAGAACAACGTCGTCGTCGTCATCGCGAGGTTTGACGGCAGGCGGCGTGGAATTGCCTCGGTCTCACGCCAGGGAACAACCGGGGCGGGAGACTCAACAGGGGTGACGTTCAACTGCCCCGTCGCCCCCCGGCCTGGGGTGGTCTCCCCGTGGCTCCTCGTGCATACCAGGTGTGTGTGTACCAGGTGTGTGTGTACCAGGTGTGTGTGTACCAGGTGTGTGTGTACCAGGTGTGTGTGTACCAGGTGTGTGTGTACCAGGTGTGTGTGTACCAGGTGTGTGTGTCATGTGTGTGTGTACCAGGTGTGTGTGCCATGTGTGTGTGTACCAGGTGTGGTGCCAGGTGTTGTGTGTGCCAGGTGTGTGTGTACCAGGTGCGCTTGTTGTCAAAGAAGAGGACAAGGAAGAGGGGCTCCGTGGCCTCCATGATGCGCGTCTCGCCCAGCTTGAGCACGTCGAGCGGCGGCACGGGGATGGGCACGCCGTTGTGCAGGAAGCCTTCGCGCGGCATCTTGGGGTCGATGATCTACGATGCACGCACACACAGACGCACGCACGGACACACAGACGCACGCACAGACACACACGCACGGACACACAGACGCACGCACAGACACACACACACACAGACACACGCACGCATGCACGAACACACAGACATACGCACGGACACACAGACGCACGAACGCCATCACCCCCCACGTGAGGGAGGTCGCTCCAAACAAACGCGGGAAGCCAACGGCAACGAATTACGGCCGGGGGCGCAGCGTCGCGACAACATCGTGACGCGTTGCGATGCGGGCTCAAGCGTCGTAAACGGCGGTCACAGCTGGCAAACACCGCAGAATGCCGAGTCGTTTAAAATTCGGACAGAGTAAACCCCGCGACAAACGTCCGCCCAAACGCAAACCCATTCACCGAATAAAAAAATCTTGACGGCAAACGTCGCGACAACGACGGTTTCCGGAACGCAGTCAAATGAAATGGAGATGTCAGCAGGAGAAAAGGGATCAACAAAAAAACGATTAACGAGGAACGAATGGAACAAAACGAGTGAGTCGAACAGACCCCCCCCCCCCCGCCACCGGTAAAGCCTTGAAGAGGCTGTTAGGGTAAGCGCTCTTCACGAGCACCGACGAAGACCGGCACAGCATGCACACGCACACGCGCGCACAAGCGCACAAGTACACACGCACACAAGTGGACGCGTACACACAGACACACACATATGCGCGCACGCGGGCCCACGCGGTGCCCCCCCCCACCCGCTCACCAGGGCCGGGTACGAGGGATAGCCACGGCACTTGGCCCACACGAGGTCAAGCGCCTCCAGGGGGGTGTCGTCGTCGTCGTCGTCGTCGTAGTCCCAGCTGGCGCACGGCAGCCCCTTGCCACCTGCGGGGACGGCACGGCAGGAGCCATGCTCGGCACCGCGACACTCAGCGGCGCGTCGTGCGGTGGTGTCGTGCGGTGGCGTCGTGCGACATCGTGTGGCGTGGTGCGGCGTGTTGCGACGCGGTGTGGTGCGGTGTGTTGTGGTGCGGCGCAGGAGTCCCCCCCCCTCCAACCCACTGTTAAAGGAGGTAAAGGTAAAGGCGCAGCCCTTTTCTCGCTCGCACCATTGCCGGTGGAAGATTCCTCCACCGGAGGGAACTCCAGAGGGCGCTTTCCCGCCCTTCCACGCTGACCGGGCAGACACTTTAGGAGAGGTGGGTTCACCCAACCGTGCCCTGGAGCCCAGCATTGTTATTAGTGCTACAATTATTTGTTGTTGTTACACTTGTTTACCCAGCAAAGCCTCAGGAGGCAATGATTGCTCAACGTTTTCTAAACGTGATACCAGGCACGTGCGTACCAGAAGTTCAACACACTCAATCTGTGGGTGATTTTTCAAATTTGAGCCACGACACTGACCGGCACACCTTGACCTCATCCTCTCCTTCTCCCTCTCCTCCTCCCCCCTCTCTACTCCTCCTCCTGCCCCTCTCCTCCTCCACCTCCTCTTCCCCCTCCTCCTCTCTCCTCCTCCTGCCCCTATGCGCCGCGCGTACCAGAGTCGCCGCCGCCGCCGGCGCCCCCGGCGGTCTCGTTGTCGGAGCCCGAGGTCTCGTCGCTGCTGTCCTCGGTGAAGTTCACCCGAGAGAAGCTGGCCTTGCCTCGGCTCTGCTTGTCTGGGGACGCACTGCAGAAACGCAGAGACAGAGACGCCAACAAGTGGGCGGGCGAGCGGGCGTCACGTTGCTGGGCGCCATGCGGCAAGAGGCTTGAGACGGCGCCAGCGACACCGGTAACCCAAGAGCTGTGGTGCCACGGGGAGAGAGAAGCCCGGGCCACAGGTCAACAACCGCCGTTCAAGTCCCCCGCACGGCGGCACTCCGTTTTATCGACCACCAAACCCGAGAGTTGAACTCGCCACCTTGCGATGGGGCGAGCCGCTCACTCGACTGCGACGCCACCTGGCCGGATGAATGGTCGTCAAACCATTGCCAGATGAAGGCCTCCCCCAACGCCACGTTGCTTAGGCGAGTTGATTTGACCGTATTTCGTCACGTGGGTTGGTAAAAGTGGCAGGGGGGCCAGGAGTGACCGTTTCGGACGTTACCCCCGGCAAGGATTCGAACTCGGGCCAGCCGGCTTCGCGGTGCAGCGCGCTAACCACTCCGCCGCCACTCCGCGACGGTCGCGCGCGCCGCACGTGCCTCGTGTTGTCGGTGGCGGCGCTGCTGGAGGAGCTGGTGGTGGACTCCGAGTCGGAGCTGCTCTGCTTGTGCCGGTAGACCAGGAAGCTTTGCGTGTTGGCGTCCTGGGCAATGCACTCGAAGCCCTCGTCTGCGCCTAGACGCATGGACGGCACGGGCGTGGAGGAGTGCAAAGGAGTACGGCTCTGTTGTGAACGCAGCGTCGCCAGTGGTGATGGAGGTGAAGAGAGCGGTGCATGTGTGTGTGTGACGGAGGTGGGTGTGTGCGTGTGTAACGACGGTACGCGCGTGATGCCGGCGCGCGTGTGACGACAGCGTGCGTGTGCGTGCGTGACGACGGTGTGTGTGCGGGTGTGATTGTGGCTGGCGAGGGCGGTACCGGCGTGCGAGAGTCGGCATGACGACCCGTCGCTGTCGCTCTCCGAGCTGGAGCTGCTGCGAGGGCGCTTCCGAGGGCCCGGTGCGGAGCCCGGGGGCGCGGAGGCCGCGGCCGCGGCGCCGGCGGGGACGCACCCCGGCCCTCCCGAGCCGCCCACGGACGAGGTGGACGACGAGGACGAGGCCTGGCCCGGCCCGGGGCCCGCCGGCGGCCCCGCCGCTCCGCCGGACTCACGGTGCTTGGGGGGACGTCCAGGCCTGCGCCACGGGGTCAAGCGGGAATCAACGCGGCGTCGTCGACGGCTCACCGGTGAACATTCGTACGGTCGAGGCATTGCGTGCGCGTGCACTTTACGCAAATTACATCGGCGATAGCGTGGCTAAATCTACTCGTTTGAATCAGTCGGGCGGCATTGTCTTTTCATCGGCTGCGTAACGCTGTGTGGAAGCTACCTGGTATGTCGCTCTGCATGAAGCTTCGGGTCTTCTCGGCCAGTCATGCCCTCCCTTCTCTACGCTTGTGAAAGGTGGACCCCTTTAATGGAACATCTGCACCGGTTATAAACCTTCACGCTGGCTTGCCTACGATCCATCCTGGGTTTAACCAGACCGGATTGTGTGAGGCGCTCACAAATTCTTGAAAGATCCGGACACATTCCCATCAGTGAGCTCCTCTGGCAGGCAAGGCTGCGTTGGCTGGGTCATGTAGCCCGCATGCCCAGCCATAGCATGCCCAAGCAGCTTGTTTGTCCGCATGGAGGGGGCTAAACGGCCACAATATGGGCTGGAGAAGAGATGGTCTGATGCAGTACGGGGGGATGTGGAGCTGAGTCGACTTCCCGATGACTGGCGGTGTCAAGATCGGCCTCAGTGGAGGAAGCTCGTGAAGGACGCTACTGGGCAGTTGGAGGCAGTCGCCCTCCAATAACAACGGAGGGTGGAGGAGCGACACTCACAACAACGAGCGGAGCGCCGGGTGGCTAAAGCACAGCAAGTTGGCACAGTAGGGGGCACAGGTGGTGCATCAGCCAGTCATCTCAGTCAGTCGACCCGTGGAACCTGAGTCTGCCCCGTGACCTCCTGCCAGCAGACATTCGACACTTCACGTGGCCTCAAGGTGCACATGGCCTGGCACAAGCGTCGTGGTGACGTCACCTCCACTTAGTGGCGAATGGCGGTTGTTGTTGTTGTTGTGTGTGCATGGGGAGCGGTAGTGTAGCGGTTAGCGCGCTGCGCTAAGATACCAGTGACCCGGGTTCGATTCCCGCTGAAGGCAAACACCAGTGACGATTATCTGAGCCAGTCCTGGGCCTCCCCTAGGTCGACTCAGCCTCAAATTAGTACCTGGTGCGATGTGTGAACATTGTCACTTGGGAGACAAAGGCGGTCGGGCGTGGTGTTGGCTACCCACCCCCTCGTGTGCCGTGCCGGCCTTCATAGGTGCTCGCTAACAGCACTTTCCCCTACAGTCTATTAAGGCTACACGTGTGTGTGTGTGTGCGCGCGCTTGCGCTCAAAGACCCACTCCCACCCCCCATAGCCTAAACAGACTCTTGGGGCTTGTGCTGTGGCCAGATCCAAGGCTGGCCGCCTTCGGGCAAATTCTAAATGTTGTGGTTTCCTCTCCAACTCACCGGTGTGCTGAACGAGTAACGAATTGCCACGCTTTGTGTACGTGACAAACCCATTACAAATTGGCCGTGTCAGGTGGCGGTGGATTTAATGACACATTTATATTTAGGCGATTTAACCCAAAACAAACCTCTATGATGGATAACACTGGTCACGAAAGCCCCGCCGGCTCTGTGTTAAACAGACTCAGAGTCCCTAATGGACCGAGGAAGGGAGATTCCACACGGTGGGGTCTTTTCGTCTCTGCCGCTCGCGACCATCTGACCGGCGCTGCTGCTGCTGCTGCTGGTGCTGCAGGGGGAAGGGCTTGCTCTTCTTGCTGAAGAGCACGAAGGTTCGGCGTCCCACGTCGGACGCGCGGCCTCCGCCACCTCCGCCTCCTCCTCCGCCGCCGGCGCCGCCGCCGCAGCCGCCGCCTCCGCAGCCGCCGCCTCCCGGCGACGGCGGCCCCCCCCCGAGGGACGCCGGCCCCAGCAGGGAGCCCCCCCCGTCGTCGTCCCCTAGCAGCAGCCCCCGCGAGGCTCCGCCCACGCGCTCGCCCCCGTCGCCTGCGGGAGGGGGGGGGGACGCAACGACGACGGCCGCCACCGCCGTTAAGTTACGACGACGACGTCACTGCGCCGCTTGCGCCAGGCTAGGTGCGCTTCCAGGGGACCCGGAGGCACACACGGGGGCACGTGGAGACACGCGCAGACACGCGCAGGCCGCGTGCGCACGCACGTGCAGGGGCATAACCATTCCTGAGCGCGCAAAGACACAGGCATGTACAGATGCACAAACGCTGAACACACACACATCTACCGGTGCACACAGGTGAACAAATATACAATAAGTAATATTTAAAAATACTTTTTTAAAAACACGCTTTATTGAAATGGCCCCGAGGCTTGCCATAACGTAGGGGAAAGTGGTGATTCACAGCCATCGTCAGTTGAGCATGGACAATTAGACCCAAGGCAAAGCATCTATATATATAAAATCGTGCATGTCTGTCTGTGTGTGTGGATTTCGGACCATACGCACTTTCATTGGACGGCGGTTGCCCGTGGCAACGGCTAGCGACGCCTTCGCCGCTTTCATTGGACCTGGCAACGGCTAGCGACGCCTTCGCCAAGGGCTGCAGTTTCATTGGACGGCAGTTGCCCCTGCCAACGGCTAGCCACGCCTTCGCCACTTTCATAGGCTCCGTAAATAATTAAATAATAGCCATTACACAGTATTGTTGGAGCGCTGAGGGGGGGGGGGGGGGGAAGGCACGCCACCCGTACCCTGCCTTTGCCGGCTGGACAATTTTGGCGAGGCCGCAGGCTCTGCACGCTACTAGGCCTCGACACCCACCACGCCACTCTGAGGTAAATTCATCAAAGTTTTTCGTACTATTCACTCCACCCCCACCACAATGTGTGCAATTTATATTACTTTTAAACCGAACGCGCCAACAATCGATTACTTAAATGTTCACTGTACAAATAGTCATTAAGCTGGGTCAGCGTACTGCCAGTCTATCATGTAGACTGTAGCCTGCTTATTAAACTCGGTGAGCGTACTGCCACTCTATCATGTACACTCTAGCCTGCTTATGAAGCTGAGTGCGTGTACTGCCAGTCTATAATGTGGACTGTAGCCTGGTTATTATAATCGATTCTTTATATGTTCTTTGTACAAATAGTCATTAAGCTGGTTGAGCGACCCCAGTTCCATTCCAACTCACGCCCACCACCGCTGACGATTATTTGAAACGGACCTGGGCCTCCCCTAGGTCGACTCAGCCTCAAACGCGTAACTGCTGTCGTGTGTGAACATCGTCACTGGGGAGACAAAGGCGGCCGGCCATCGTGGATCCAAGTCCCGGGCGAAGCCGGGTCATGTGTATGTGTGTATGTGTTTATGTGTATGTCTGTGTGTCTCTATGTATGTGTGTATGTATGTGTGTGTGTATGTGTTTGTGTGTATGTATGTCGGTTTTTTTGTATGTCTTTATGTGTGTGTCTGCGTGTCTGTATGTATGTGTGTATGTACATGTGTGCATGTGTTTGTGTGCATGTATGTGTGTGTGTATGTATGTGTGTGTATGTGTTTCTGTGTATGTATGCGTGTGTACGTATGTGTGTTATGTGTGTGTCCGTGTGTCTGCATGTATGTGTGTGTGTATTGTGTATGTGTTTGTGTGTATGTATGTGTGTGTTTGTGTGTATGTGTTTGTCTCTGTGTATGTATGTGTGTATGTATGTGTGTGTATGTGTTTGTGTGTATGTCTGTGTGTGTATGTATGTGGGTTTTTTTATGTGTTTATGTCTATGTCTGTGTGTCTGTATGTATGTGTGTATGTACGTGTGTGTATGTGTTTGTGTGTATGTATGTGTGTGTATGTATGTGTGTATGTATGTGTGTGTATGTATGTGTGTTATGTGTGTCTCTGTGTGTCTGCATGTATGTCTGTGTGTATTGTGTATGTGTTTGTGTGTATGTATGTGTGTGTTTGTGTGTATGTGTATGTCTGTGTGTATGTATGTGTGTGTATGTGTGTGTATGTGTTTGTGTGTATGTGTGTGTATGTATGTGTGTGTATGTGTTTGTATGTGTTTGTGTGTTTACGCTCGCATTACACAAATGTCTTGCAGGTCTAAGGCGTTCCTCGCGCAGCATTGCCGCTTTATTATTGCAGTCGTTTACTGCCGTGCGCACACCCTGAAAGTCGTGTGTGTCTGCAGCAAGCGCGTGTATGTGTACCTATGGACGCGCGCGCGTGTGTTGTGTAGGGGGAACGGTAGTGTAGTGCTTAGCGTGCTGTCTGTGTCTGTGTGTGTGTGTCTGTGTGTGTGTCTGTGTGTGTGTCTGTGTGTGGTGTGTGGGGAGCGGTAGTGTAGTGCTTAGCGTGCTGTCTGTGTGTCTGTGTGTGTGTGTGTCTGTCTGTGTCTGTCTGTGTGTGTCTGCGTGTGTCTGTGTGTGTGTCTGTGTGTGTGTCTGTGCGTGTGTGGTGTGTGAGGAGCGGTGGGTGTAGTGCTTAACGCTACGCTGCGCTACCAACCCGGCGAACCGAGTTCGATTCCCGCTCACGGCCACCACCGGTGACGATTATTTGAACCTCCCCTAGGTCGACTCAGCCTCAAACGAGTAACTGGTGTGGCGTATTAACATCGGCACTGGGGAGACAAAGGCGGCCGGGCGTGGTGGATCCAAGTCCCGGGCGAAGCCGGGTCATGTGTATGTGTGTATATGTTTGTGTATGTCTGTGTGTCTGTATGCATGTGTGTATGTATGTGTGTGTATGTGTTTGTGTGTATGTGTGTGTGTATGTATGTGGGTTTTTTTTTATGTGTTTATGTGTATGTCTGCGTGTCTGTATGTATGTGTGTATGTACGTCTGTGGATGTGTTTATGTGTATGTATGTGTGTGTATGTATGTGTGTTATGTGTCTGTCTGTGTGTCTGCATGTATGTGTGTGTGTATTGTCTATGTTTTTGTGTGTATGTATGTGTGTGTTTGTGTGTATGTGTATGTCTGTGTGTATGTATGTGTGTGTATGTGTGTGTATGTGTTTGTGTGTATGTGTGTGTATGTATGTGTGTGTATGTGTTTGTATGTGTTTGTGTGTTTACGCTCGGATTACACAAATGTGTTGCAGGTCTAAGGCGTTCCTCGCGCAGCATTGCCGCTTTCTTTTTTCAGTCGTTTACTGCCGTACGCACCCTGACAGTCGTGTGTGTCTGCAGCAAGCGCGTGTATGTGTACCTATGGACGCGCGCGCGTGTGTTGTGTAGGGGGAACGGTAGTGTAGTGCTTAGCGTGCTGTCTGTGTCTGTGTGTGTGTGTCTGTGTGTGTGTGTCTGTGTGTGTGTGTCTGTGTGTGTGTCTGTGTGTGTGTCTGTGTGTGTGCGTGTGTGGTGTGTGGGGAGCGGTAGTGTAGTGGTTAGCGTGCTGTCTGTGTGTCTGTGTGTGTGTGTCTGTCTGTGTGTGTCTGCGTGTGTCTGTGTGTGTGTCTGTGTGTGTGTCTGTGCGTGTGTGGTGTGTGAGGAGCGGTGGGTGTAGTGGTTAACGCTACGCTGCGCTACAAACCCGGCGAACCGAGTTCCATTCCCGCTCACGGCCACCACCGGTGACGATTATTTGAACCTCCCCTAGGTCGACTCAGCCTCAAACGAGTAACTGGTGTGGCGTATTAACATCGCCACTGGGGAGACAAAGGCGGCCGTGCGTGAGTGGTGAGGGAGGGAGAGTGGTGAGGGAGGGAGAGTGGTGAGGGAGGGACAGTGGTGAGGGAGGGACTCAGCCGCAAAACGAGTAACTGGTGTGGCGTATTAACATCGCCACTGGGGAGACAAAGGCGGCCGGCCGTGGTGGATACAAGTCCCGGGCGAAGCCGGGTAGTACAGCTAGTAACATATAAAAAAGATGGTTTAAAATTTTTATGACATAAGTATACCAAGTTTGCAGTCGACACGACATTGGGAAGTGGGTTAAAATTGAGTTACAAAGATTTGAGGATACGACAACAACAACAGAGTGAGTTAATAGAAAGCGTGTAAAAAGACAAAGATCCCCCGCCTTAACAGCACTATGCCCAGCCACCTTTCCCCAGTGGCGATGTTTACACACCGCACCAGGTACTCATTTGAGGCTGACTCGACCTAGGGGAGGCCCAGGAACGGGACCAGTTCAGATAATTATCACTGGTGTTGTCCGTGAGCATGAATCAAATCCTGGTCGCCAGGTTCGTAGTGCAGCTCGCTAACTGTTACACGCGTATACACATGTACATGCACGCGCAAGCACACACATGCTTTCGGGGACCACTCACCAACGAGTCGCACACACGCAAAACCAACACGCGCAAACATGCTAGGAGAAAGACGAGCGCACCTACGTCCTCCCGGGTGTGACGGGGCTCGGTGCGGTGCGCTGTGGTGCGATGCGCTGCGCTGCGGGAGCCACTCACCCACGGAGGCTGCAGCTGCTGTCCTCCCGGGTGTGACGGGGCTTGGTGCTGTGGTGCGGTGCGGGAGCCACTCACCCACGGAGGCTGCAGCTGCTGCTGCCGCGGACCCGGCGTCGCCGTCAGCGAGCCGCCTCTTGCCGCCGTGGCGTCCGGCGCGACCCCGACCCCTCCCGCGACCCCCACCCCCGGCGCGACCCCGTTCCCCCCCGTGACCCCGCTCCCCGCCGTGACCCCGCAGCCCCTGGCCCCGAGGCCCCGGCGCCGCTGCTCGACCCTTGCCCCCGCTGCCTGCACAAGACCAGCGCGAGTCAAGCGGCGTGGGGAGCGGCGGACTCGCTCGCGGCGGATTCGCGGCAGACTCGCGCGCGGTGTCCCGAAAAGAGGCGCGCGTGGGGATGCGCACGCCGACAACGCGGACGGCGCTCCGCACGCTGCGCCCACGCACCCACCTCTCTCCGGCCCCTCCACGCCGACGCCGCCGCCGCCCTCGTCTTCGGAGGACGAAGACGACGGCGAAGAGGTGGACGACGAGGAGGAGGATGAGGAGGAGGAAGAGGAGGAGGCCGAGCGGGCCGAGCCCCGGCGAGTCCCCCCCGGGAGGGTCGTGGGGGGAGGGGCGCCGCCCCCGCACCGGGGAACCCGCGGCCCCTCCGCCCGTCCCGGGCGCCGCTTCGACGCGGCGCCGCCGGCGGCGCCGTGGCGCTCGCTCTGCGGCGGGCCCCCCCGGTGGAGGGAGCGGTCACCGCGGCCGGCCTTGCTCCCCCGCCTCGACGCCACGAGGTCTGTGCCGGGATGGGGGTTGGGGGGTGGAGGGTGGGGGGAGAAACGCTGGTGAGATCAACCACAACGTCACCTCGCTGATGATTTCGTCGAGGAGCGTGCAAAATCATCATGCAGACTCCAGTGGTTATCCTCGCAGCAGCAGCTTTTGGCCAGCCTGAAATCGCGCGGCGCTTTCAGATGCGCTTCTGTGGCCGTCGGCAACACATCCGATGTTAGGAAGCCACTGGGAGCTATGATGCTCCCAGTGGCTTAAACGAAGTTCTTTAGAATTGCTGGTTGTTGTTGTTGTTGTGTTGAGTTTGTTGTCCTTCCCCCCCAGCTCCTCCGACTAGCACGGTTGGCTACGCACAGCACGAAACAAGTTCAACGTACACACGTACGTGAGAGCAGTGACGCTCGGTTCACCGGCTCCGAGAAACTCGCAGTTTCCCCGTCCCTTTGAGCCGCAGCAGCCCCGTGTACAATGCGTGTGTGCGTGCAATGTGTGGGGAGCGGTAGCGTAGCGGTTAGTGTGCTGTGCTACAAACGCGGCTACCCGAGTTCGATTCCCGCTCAGGGCCACCAACACTGGAGACGATTATCTGAACGGGTCCTGGACCTCAACGAATTCGGTGCTACTCGCTAACAGCACTCGCCCCGACAGTATGTTAAGGCTGTACGGGGAATCTTTGTCTTCGTGTGTGTGTGTAAGCACAATTTCTGAGTAGGTGCGCATGTTTCTGTGCATGTGTGTTTCTGTGCGCTTCTGCGCGCACGCGTTTCTGCGCGTGTGTGTCTGTGTGTCTGTGCGTGTGTGTCTGTGTGTCTGTGTGTCTGTGCGTGTGTGTCTGTGTGTCTGTGCGTGTGTGTCTGTGTGTCTGTGCGTGTGTGTCTGTGTGTGTGTGTCTGTGTGTGTGTGTCTGTGTGTGTCTGTGTGTGTGTGTCTGTGTGTGTGTGTCTGTGTGTCTGTGTGTGTGTGTCTGTGTGTGTGTGTCTGTGTGTGTGTGTCTGTGTGTGTGTCTGTGTGTGTGTGTCTGTGTGTGTGTCTGTGCGTGTGTGTCTGTGCGTGTGTGTCTGTGCGTGTGTGTCTGTGCGTGTGTGTCTGTGCGTGTGTGTCTGTGCGTGTGTGTCTGTGCGTGTGTGTCTGTGCGTGTGTGTCTGTGCGTGTGTGTCTGTGCGTGTGTGTCTGTGCGTGTGTGTCTGTGCGTGTGTGTCTGTGCGTGTGTGTCTGTGCGTGTGTGTCTGTGCGTGTGTGTCTGTGCGTGTGTGTCTGTGCGTGTGTGTCTGTGCGTGTGTGTCTGTGCGTGTGTGTCTGTGCGTGTGTGTCTGTGCGTGTGTGTCTGTGCGTGTGTGTCTGTGCGTGTGTGTCTGTGCGTGTGTGTCTGTGCGTGTGTGTCTGTGCGTGTGTGTCTGTGCGTGTGTGTCTGTGCGTGTGTGTCTGTGCGTGTGTGTCTGTGCGTGTGTGTCTGTGCGTGTGTGTCTGTGCGTGTGTGTCTGTGCGTGTGTGTCTGTGCGTGTGTGTCTGTGCGTGTGTGTCTGTGCGTGTGTGTCTGTGTGTGTGTGTCTGTGCGTGTGTGTCTGTGGTGTGTGTCTGTGTGTGTGTCTGTGTGTGTGTCTGTGCGTGTGTGTCTGTGCTGTGTGTCTGTGCGTGTGTGTCTGTGCGGTGTGTCTGTGTGTGTGTGTCTGTGCGTGTGTGTCTGTGCGTGTGTGTCTGTGCGTGTGTGTCTGTGCGTGTGTGTCTGTGCGTGTGTGTCTGTGTGTGTGTGTCTGTGTGTGTGTGTCTGTGCGGTGTGTTTGTGTGTGTGTCTGTGTGTGTGTGTCTGTGCGTGTGTGTCTGTGTGTGTGTGTCTGTGCGTGTGTGTCTGTGCGTGTGTGTCTGTGCGTGTGTGTCTGTGCCCGTGTGCCCCACCGTGGGCGGACGGAGCGGCTGGCGCCGTGGGGAGGTGCATTCCGCTCTCGTAGTTGAAGCCGATCCGCTCCGCTGCCGCTCGCGCTTGCCGCAAGATCACGGCGCCCTGGTCCCTGAGCCGCACGGCCGCGCGGTAAAAAATCGTGTCCTGGGCACACAAAAAACAAAGATCCCCCGTGTAGCCTTAACAGACTGTTGGGGCAAGTGCTGCTAGCGAGTAGCACCTTTGAAGACCGGCACGGCACACGATGTTGACACCGCACCAGGTACTCATTTGAGGCCGAGGCATCCTATCGGGTCCCGGGTTGGTAGTGTGGCGCGCTGACCGCTACTCTCCACACACACACACCCCGCACCCACACAACAACAACCGCCATTCGCTACTAAGTGGCGGTGACGTCACCACGCCGCTTGTGCCTGGCTATGTGCACGTTGGGGCCACGTGAAGTGTCGAACGTCCGTTGGCAGGTGGTCACGGGGCAGACCCAGGTGCCACGGGTCGACTGTCTGAGATGAATACTGTGCCAACTTGCTGTGCTTTAGCCACCCGGCACTCCGCTTGTTGTTGTGAGCGTCGCTCCTCCACTCTCCGTTGTTGTTGGAGGGCGACTGCCTCCAACTGCCCAGTAGCGTCCTTCACGAGCCTCCTCCACAGTGACCGATCTTGACAACGCTGGTACCAGTCATCGGCAAGTCCACTCAGCTCCACATCCTCATGTACCACATCACTCCATCTGTTTTCTAGCCCCTGCCGCGCCCATTTAGCCTCCTCAATCCGGCCGAACAAAAGCTATTAAGGCATGCGGTGACTGGGCATGCGGGCTATATGACCCAGCCAACGCAACCTTGCCTGCCCGGGGGAGCTCACCGATGGGACTTTATCCAGATCTTTTAAGGATTTGTGAACTCCTTACACCCACACACACACACTCACACACACACCCCGGCACTCAACATTGACACCGGCGCTCTCTGCGGCAGTGACACCTCTGCGGGTCGCCGCCAGCTCTTTGGGGCCGCACGCACCTTGGCGTTGTACTGCATGCAGTTGTTGACGATGAGTTGGAAGTCGCCGGCGAAGGTGTCCATGCCGCGGTACTCGTGCGAGTCCACGCGCTGCCGCATCGTGGAGAAGTCCATGGGGGTTTTGATGTGATCCAGGTAGTCCGACACCTACGCAGGGCAGAGACAAAGGTCCTCAGCCCCCCCGTGTAGCCCGTTACAGACTGTCGGGGGCAAGTGCTGCTCGTGAGAATCCGTGAAGGCCGGCACAGCACACAAAAGGGGGGGGGGGGGTGGCCAGCACCACCCCCGGCCGCCTCAAGTCTCACCAATGCTTACACGCTACGCTGGGTAGACCTCGGGGAGGCCCAGGACTGTTTAAGATAACAGCCACCGATGTTAGCCATTACGCCGGAATCGAACTCAGGTCGTCGGATTCGCAGCGCAGTGCGCCAATCACTATACTACCTGTTCTATCCACTGCTGGATGAAGGCCTCAAACGAGTCGTTGCCATCATGCGGGGAACAGTGCTGCTGACCCAACATCTCACTCCAGTACATGAACTGACATCGTCGCTCCAACTTCACGGTGGTTGCTGTGCTAGGATGCGTTCTCCCCTGTCGGTCATCGTCCCGGATGGTACGCAAGTTGAACTTCATTCGCACCGTATGTAGCCTACGGGTCTCTGTGTGAGTCTATGGGTCTCTGTGTGGGTCTCTGTGTGAGTCTATTGGTCTCTGTGTGAGTCTACCGGTCTCCGTGTGAGTCTATGTATGTTAAACTTCTTTTGAATGTACATAGCCAACTGCGCTAATTGTAGGTGCGGAGCTAAATGGGGGGGGGGGGGGGGGGAGGACAACAAACTAAATTACAACACCAACAAACAGTTAAAGCACATCATAGCTCCCAGTGGCTTCAGAATATCGGAAGGAAGAGCGGCGTTCCAGACGGCCTCTACGCGGCGTGCCGCACAGCGCATCAGAAAGCGCCGCGCAACGCCGTGCTCCTGCCAAAGCCACAGTCGCTTGTCGTCGCGTCGATGCGACGACGGCGGCCCCCACCACTCCCCGCTCACCTCCTCGAGGCACACGGGCTCCGAGAAGATGCTGCCCGTGTCTCGCTCCTGCAGCAGCTCCAGAGTCCGGCGTAGGAAGATGACGAACGGGATCAGCCGCGCCTCCATCACGGCCTCTTGCGCTCGGATCTGCGCAGCGCGAAACACGCGGACGGGCGTCACGCCGGCATCACCGCACACGACCACGCGTCACCACAGGGGACACACACGACCACGCGTCACTATACGGACACACACACGACCACTCGTCACCGTACCTACACACTCACGACCACGTGTCACCACAGGGGACACACACACGACCACGCGTCACCGCACGGACACACATTATCAAATCTTACGACACGTTACCCATTAATGATTACGTATTATTACCCATGAACACATATCAACACAGCAGACACGGTTGAACATTAAAAAAACACTACTGCGTGCTACCACACACAAAGGCAAAGATCTCCTGTGTAGTCTTAACCGACTTGTTGGGGAAAGTGCTGCCACAGCACAAGCGGAGGGTGGGTAGCCAACACCACGTACGGCCGCCTCTGTCTCCGCGGTAGCAATGCTGACACATTGCATCTTATACTCATGTGAGGCCGAGTCGACCGAGGGGAGGTCCAGGACAGGTTCACAGAATCATCGTAGTTTTCCATGAGCGGGAATACAACTCAAGGTCGTCAGATCCATTACCATACACGGCCCGGAGCACGGGGATTGGCGGCTGAGTGTGCGGTGTCTACACAAGGCTCACGCGCAACTCGGCGCGTCGCCGTGCCGACGTGCGCTCGCGTCGCCGTGCGCTCGCGTCGCCGTGCCGACGTGCGCTCGCGTCGCCGTGCCGACGTGCGCTCGCGTCGCCGTGCCGACGGTCACCACCTGTTCGCGCTTGAGCTTCTCGCGCTTGCGGATGAGCTCGACGAGCAGGCGCGCCCGCTCCAGGTCGTGGCGCAGGCGCTGCCACGACTTGAGCTGCTCCTTCAGCGCGTGCCTCTTCTCTCCCAGGTGCTCGCGCTGGGGTCACGCCGGGCCGGGGGGCGACAGGGGGGGGGGGAGGGGAGCGTGAGGAGGCCGAGCCGCTCCGTGAGATTTGGTGAGTCGCGGCCGGAGGTGTGTTTTGTCATTTTTCCTCGGGCGTCATCCCAATTGCGGTATCGGTGTCGCGTCGTCGCGAGAGACGCAGCAACATGCGTGACCACACGGGGACACACACCGTGCTAGAGCTGGCCTAATCAATGACGATATTCACACGCAGGTTTCTTTCTCCCGCGGAAACAGCTATCGCAGAGCTCCCTCCGACCCTCGTGGTTTGCAGATTACACGTTCGTCACATAACAGTCAAAACCTATATTGAATTCTCAAAGCCGGAATTTTTGCCAAATAAGTGCAGAAATGATTATTCTACGTGATGCTTTTGAGCGCAGTCGCTGGTGACCAGGCCGAGAACAGCGACTCACTGCACAAGAGAACCCGGTGGGGTTTCATCGCAACCCGGGTTTGAACCCATGACCTCAGCGGTCCCCGCACAACACCATGAATTCTGAGCCAACCCAGCAGCCCTTGCAGCCACAAGGCATCGACTCATTCATCAATTCAACAAAATAAAATGTTCAAGTATCCTGATAAGTAAAATTGAGCTGTGCGACACGTGATAATTTTACAATTTCTACAACTTACGTGGAACTTTTATTTACGTTCTAATCCCCCCCAAAAAACCTCTATTATGTTCCAATCCTAATCGGGGCGAACGTGGGGTTGATACCAAGAAGATATGTTTTTATTTGTCAGGCTTGACGGACTCTACGGCAATCCATTGCTCTACCGCGCAGAGAAATAAAACCAAGACGTGGGCGGATGGCAGGTTCAGACCAAACTAAATCTCTACAAACAAAATAAAATAAAAACTACGGCAAAAAAAAATAAGTTACAATTTTCAAAGCGCAACGGATGACCGCGGATTGCGACAGTTCGCCAAAACGTCTGTGTTAGATGCTCAGCGAATGTTCACTGTGAATCTTGACGGGCAGCCGCCGTTACCTGCTCCATGGATCGCTGCGACTGCAGGTGGGACTGCAGCCTCCGCAGAAGGGGCACGCCGTTGCGGGACTGCCGCTTGAGCGTCCAGTAGCTGTGCATGCGCTGCATGAACTGGCTCTTGCGCTGCATGGACACGCGGCTAATGATCTTGCTCAGCCTGCGGGTCAGCGAGGTAGGGGGGAGGGCGGTAAACGAAGGCACGGCAACGCACGGCATCAGGGCACCGGCAAAACTGCCCCGCTGATAAGCGGGGTTTCTAAGTGCCATGCATCAGAGCTCCGGGTTCCAACTCACACCTCCATTTCTCCAGATTCCAACCCATACTAAAAGTTGGGCTAATCAATTACTGTCTTAAGACGCAAGATTTTGTTTTTGCATCCCAATTAATGAGGTATCATTTACTCTACCGATTACCAGCTCATTACTCAATGAATACAATAACTAAAAAAAATGTATATATATGTTACTCTTTGGCTCTTTCGGTAAAGTCACGTAGGTAGAAAAATAATAGATCACGACATTTCGATCGCAACACAAGCAATCGTCATCAGATGGGACAACCACAGCAAGAAAAAACTGATTCCTGCAGTCAAGAAACACTTCAAATCAAGATTGTAGATATGCTGTTCTTCCTTGTGTTCCCACGTGTGTGTCGCTGCCCGGGAGGTGATGGCGAGGGCTTGGGGGTGTAAATTGGCGGCGTCACGCTGGGCACGCTCCTCTCGCCAGGGGGTGGGGCTTCTTACCTTCCAGAGGCCGGCATTTTTGGGGGCATCCGCCATTGTTTTTAAATCGGGCCTCAGAATGAGAATGTTTATTTTATCTGAGTAAAACCACCCCCTGAGCTATTCAGCTCCTTTTTCAATGGTGACTCGGCCAGCCCCGAACTATCGCGCAATAAGGATCGGTCGATGAGAGCGGACTTCATCGATTGATCCATATGTACAGGGCCTAACCCACGCCTCCAGCCTCCAGGGCTTATCGCTGGCTCCTAAAATGCCCCCCCGCCCGCCTCTCCCGCCAGCCCCCACCCCCGTCATCGCACATCTGTCCGAGACGGCCGTGTAACACCGCGCACCTGTGGGGAGGAATGCACGGCACGGACACGATGGGCACAGCGGCGCGCCGCTCCGCCAGGATCTTCCGCGCCTTCTTCATCTTCTGCTTCGACTTGGCCTTGGCTTTCTTGGCCGACCAGCCCGGGGTGCAGCCTCCAGCCGCGCCGCCCTCCCCGTCCTCGCCGTCACTCTCGCTGCCTGTCAGCAGCAGCGGCCTACGAGACGCGGGGAATGAACGGCGATGCAGAGGCATCCGTGAAGCGCGGCGGGAATGTGACGGGAGCGTGACGGGAGCGTGACGGGAGCAGGACAGGAGCATGACGGGAGCGTGACGGAATCGTGACGGGAGCGTGGTGGGAGCGTGACGGGAGCGTGGTGGGAGCGTGGTGGGAGCTTGACGGGAAGCGTGATGGGAGCGTGACGGGAGCGTGATGGGAGCGTGACGGGAGCGTGATGGGAGCGTGGTGGGAGCGTGACGGGAGCGTGGTGGGAGCGTGGTGGGAGCTTGACGGGAGCGCGACGGGAGCGTGACGGGAGCGTGACGGGAGCGTGACGGGAGCGTGATGGGAGCGTGACGGGAGCGTGATGGGAGCGTGGTGGGAGCTTGACGGGAGCGTGGTGGGAGCTTGACGGGAGCGCGACGGGAGCGTGACGGGAGCGTGATGGAGCGTGATGGGAGCGTGACGGGAGCGGCGGGAGAGTGGTGGAGCGTGACGGGAGCGCGACGGGAGCGTGACGGGAGCGTGCGGGAGCGGGCGGGAGCGTGACGGGAGCATGACAGGAGCGTGACGGGAGCATGACAGGAGCGTGACACCGCAACACGCCACACCGCAACACGCCACACCGCAACACGCCACACCGCAACACGCCACACCGCAACACACCACACCGCAACACACCACACCGCAACACTTCACCCCGCAACACGCCACACCGCAACACGTCACACCGCAACACGTCACACCGCAACACGTCACACCGCAACACACCACACCGCAACACGCCACACCGCAACACGCCACACCGCAACACGTCACACCGCAACACGTCACACCGCAACACATCACACCGCAACACGTCACACCGCAACACGCCACCCCGCAACACGCCACACCGCAACACGTCACACCGCAACACACCACATCGCAACACACCACATCGCAACACGTCACACCGCAACACACCACACCGCAACACGTCACACCGCAACACACCACATCGCAACACGTCACACCGCAACACACTACACCGCAACACACCACACCGCAACACGCCACACCGCAACACACCACACCACAACACGTCACACCACAACACACCACACCGCAACACGTCACACCACAACACACTACACCGCAACACGTCACACCACAACACACCACACCGCACTATGCCACACAACACCGCACACGTCAGACCGCACTGTGCAACACGCCACATCGCACCACGCCAAACCTGCACCACACCGCAACACACCACACCACAACACACCACATCGCAACACGCCACACAGCAACACACCACACCACAACACACCACATCGCAACACGCCACACAGCAACACGCCACATCGCACCACGCCAAACCTGCACCACACCGCAACACACCACAACACAACGCACCACACCGCAACACACCACACCGCAACACACCACACCGCAACACGTCACACCACAACACACCACACCGCAACACGTCACACCACAACACACTACACCGCAACACGTCACACCACAACACACCACACCGCACTATGCCACACAACACCGCACACGTCAGACCGCACTGTGCAACACGCCACATCGCACCACGCCAAACCTGCACCACACCGCAACACACCACACCACAACACACCACATCGCAACACGCCACACAGCAACACACCACACCACAACACACCACATCGCAACACGCCACACAGCAACACGCCACATCGCACCACGCCAAACCTGCACCACACCGCAACACACCACAACACAACGCACCACACCGCAACACACCACACCACAACACACCACATCGCAACACGCCACACAGCAACACGCCACACTGCAACACCGCATCACGTCACACCACATCACGTCACATTGCACCACACACCGCACCACACCGGACTACACCACGCCGCAACGCACCACGCCGCAACGCCGCACCACACCAAGCCACACCGCTCCATGCCACACCGCACGATGCCACACCACGTAACGCCCCATCCCTCCATCACGGGCTGAGCTCTGCAACTGGTAGCCTACGGAGCTCGTCTAGACAGAGAAGGCTCTTGAGAGTGGGCCGCTGAGTGATACGGCTCAGATAAGGGCCTCAACTGCCTCACCTGTACACAGAACCCACGCAGGTGAGAGAGCCTCGGCTATGTCTCACCAGTACACGCAGTACACGCAGGACACGCAGGACACGAGCGAGACGCGCACAAGGACGAGGGGGACACGTACCGCCGCACACTGCCGGGCGGCGTGTGAATATCGCAGTAGGCCGTCTTGCGGACGCTGAAGGACGTCCCGTTGGCGCCCGTCTCGCGCACGGGCTCCATCTTCATGTAGAGTCCCGCCTGCTGGGCGCACGTCACGTGGAAGGCCGTGTAGCAGTTGGCCTTGTGGCACTGGATGCAGGCGCCCGAGCCGCGCTGCTTGCACACGTAGCAGGTGAGCTTCCAGCGCGCCGGCGGGATGTGCTCGATGCTGTCGATGGGCTCCAGGAAGACGGTGTTGGCGAAGCACACCTCGGGGATCCATAGTGCGCACACCACGTGCGCCCAGCGCCCATCGTCCGTCTGCTTGAAGGCGCCGCCCTTGTTGGGGCACAGCGCGCAGTCCACGGCCCGCGAGGGCGACTGCAGGCAGCGGCGGCACAGCCACTGGCCCTCGGGGATGTAGGGCACCCCGTAGCACTCCTGGTGCACCGCCAGGTTGCACATGTCGCAGAAGAGGATCACGTTGCTGTTCTGGCACTCGCCGTCGTTGCAGATGCAGCAGAGGGCGTCCTCGTCCGGCGGGGGCAGCGGCACCGACGCTGCGCCGGGGGCGGCGGCGGGGACGGCGGGCGGGCGGCGGAAAGGCACACAAGGTGAGAGACAGGTTAGAGACGCGTACGGGTGAGAGACACAGGTTAGAGATGTGCACAGGCGAGACATGCATATAAGTGAGAGATACACAGGTGTGAGACAAAGGGCTACAGACGCATAGAAGTGAGAAAGGCACCAATCATCCATCCGTAATCCATTTAACGCTGGGTTTCAATCACAAAGTTTTGGACAATCCTTATGATCAATTTGGCTTGGCTTTCACTTGGGTAAAACAGAGCTAATCTATGAGCACAATGAAAATTTGATTAAATCATTAAGAATTAACACAATCTTGGCTCTTTCTAGCTGATGGCCACCACAATACTGTGTGCAGTAACTAGGAATGCAGCTTGCATTTAGATGATCGACACACAATCAATGCGTGTTGTGGGTGGGAAGTCAATTACGAATCGTGGGTGGGTGCATTGGGTGGGTTTAGGTGGGTGGGTTTTGTGGGTTTGGGTGGGTGGGTGCATTTGGGTAGGTTGGGTGGGTTTGGATGGGTTTGGGTGGGTGGGTTGCGTGGGTTTGGGTGGGTGGATTTGTGTGGGTGCATTTGGGTGGGTTGGGTGGGTTTGGTGGGTTGGGCGGGTTTTGGTGAGTGGGTTTTGGTGGGTGGCAGTGGTGGTGGAGCCGCCGCCGATGCGGCTGAAACGACGGGCCCTCACCCCCGGAGAGGTCGGCCGCGTTGGCCCCTGCGCCGGCCCCCGCCGCGTCGCCTTGGATGCCGCCCGGGGGCTTGGCACGGCTCTCAAAGCACGACTCCTTCTCCAGGCGGTCCATGAGCAGCTCGAAGGACTCCTGGGTGACGGGCGGCAGGCCCTCGGCGTGCCGCCGCTCGTTCATCATCTCCAGCCACGCGTAGTCCTCCTCGTCCATGTGGTACTCCACCTGAAGGGGGGAAGCCCCACGGGGGTAACGAGCATGCGAGTCACCCGGCCCCCTACCGCTCGTCCGCCCCCTCCCCCACGTCCCCCAGGCCCCCCACCGTGTTCCCGCCAAGGAGGGGGGGGGGTCGTTAATTTTGTCATTGGCAGGCGAGAGAAACGTTCAAAACGAGGTGTCGTGCGAACGCGCGAGCTTACGCTGAACTAATCGACGCAAAACGCCGTGCCGTGTGTACGCGCGCACACGCACGCACGGACGCGCGCACGCAGGCACGCACCTCCTCGTCGAGCTCTTCGCTGGACTTCTCGATGTATCTGTAGTAGGCGCTGGGGCGCGCGGGCGCCACAGGCGCGTCGTACTCGATCACGCGGAACATCGCCTCCGGGATCTTGCACGGGGCCGGGCCCCCCGCCGGCGCGCACGCCGCACCGGAGGGGGCCGCTCCCCCCGAACCGGACCCCGAGCCGGAGCCCGGCCCGGCGGGAGCCCCGGGAGCGGCCTGGCCGGGGGTGGCCACCGCTCCCTGGTGGGCCGACGTCCACGCGCCTCCTCCGCCGGCGCCCGGACCCCCGCTGCTCCCTCCTCCTCCGTCCCTCCTGCGCTCCTTGTGCTTGTGCCGCCCGCTCTTGGGTTGCTGCTGATGCTGCTGCGCCGTTCCGTCGGCGTTCTCTTTGTTGCCGGCGCCGGTCTCCGCGGCTCCCCCATCCTTGTGTTTCGTGCGCTCGTGTTTCACCTCCCTCTGCGCGCCTCCTCCTCCTCCTCCTGCTCCTTCGGTGGCCTCCTCCTCCTCCTTGATGCCGGCGACGCCGTTCTTACCGTCGCCGTTCTCGTGGCCGCCGGTGCCGTTGTTGTGGTTGCGCTGTCGCCGCTCGTCCCCTCCGGCGGCCGCCACCGCCGCCTCCTTCTCCTCCGGCTGCGGCGCCGTCTCGTCCTCGTCCTCGTCCACGATCTCGATGGAGTCGAAGATGCTGATGCGGTGGATCCGACCGTCCAGGTCGACCTCCACCAGGCGCTGCGCCTGCGCGTAGGTGAGGGCGTCGCGCCCCGGAGAGCGAGCGGAGCCGCCGCCGCCGCCCGTGGCCCCCGGGGACGGAGCCCCGGAGGCCCCTCCGCTGCCGCCGCGGCCCTTGCGGCCCCGGGGCTTGCGCGCCGGCGTGGGCGCCCCCGCGCCGTCCCCATGCTCGTAGTGGAAGAGGTGGTACTCGATGCCGCTGTAGGACTTGTAGATCTTGCGGCACGAGGAGACGGGGCATTCGTAGGGCGGCTTGGTGGCGCGGAGGTTGCAGCAGTAGGTGCGCACGTCAAAGTCCAACCCCACCATCGCGCTGTCCGTGTGTGTCTGTGTGTGTCTGTGGGGAGCGGTGGTGCAGCGGTTAGCAACGCTATGAACTCTGCGGCCCGAGTTCGATTCCCGCTCACGGTCAACACCGGTGACGATTATTTGAACCGGTCCTGGGCCTCCCCGAGGTCAACTCAGCCTCAAATGAGTACCTGGTGCGGTGTGTAAACATCACCACTGGGGAGACAAAGGCCGCCTGGCGTGGTGTTGACCACCCACCCCCTCGCGTGCCGTGCCGGCCTTCATAGGTGCTCGCTAACAGCACTTGCCCCAAGTCTGTTCAGGCTATATGGGGGATCTTGGTCTTTTTCTACGTATTTGTGTGCGAGCACAGCCACGCCACACCCTTCGTGGGTCTGTGAAAGTATCCGTGCGAGGCGCAGGCCACAGCACCTCCTGCCCGGCCCCACCACGTCAGTACTACTAATCCCCTACATGGAAGACCTACGCGTTCGGATGCAAAATGGGTTGTCGCGGAGGTTAACGCATTTGCGCTACAAACGCAGTGGCCCAAGTTCAATCCCCAGCCACGTCTCACGACTCCCTCCTGGGGCCTCACCTAGATCGACTCGGCCTCAAATGGGCTCCTGGTGCGGTGTGAAATTTCAGCAGCGGAGAGACGAAGGCAGCCGGGCGTGGTGGGTGTAGACACAACCACCGCCTCTCCTCTTTGTGCTCCGCTGTGGCCAGGGAGAGAGCCAAGCTGTCGCAGGCCACAAGTTGCACCGCGTTCATCAAGCTTGTGCCGATTTACTCTGCCGCGTGCAGTTGCACGTGCTGTGACATCCAGTCCGCAACGCCAAGTCGCGTGTCCTCGGTGCTGGCGACTTGCCGCTGCTGTAGAGAGGCTTGTCCGTGTTCAACAGAAAATGAATATCAGTCAATAACCGTGCGATTTTGGGGCTCACCGCGATATATTATGGCATGATGTAACCACGTGCTTGCTGTGTGTGCATGCGTAGGTGAACGTGTGAGTTATCCTTACGTGCTGTGTGTGTGTGTGTTGAACGTGAGTCATCATTACGTGCTGTGCGTGTGCTGTGTATGTTGAACTTGTTAGTTGTCTTTACGTGCTGTGTGTTGGACTTGTGAGTTGTGTTGTGTTAACTTGTGAGTTATCCTTACGTGCTGTGTGTGCGCTGTGTTAACTTGTGAGTTATCCTTATGCGTTGTGTGTTACCTTGTGAGTTATCCTGACGTCCTGTGTGTTGGACTTATGAGCTATCCTTACGCGCTGTGTACGCTGTGTGTGTCGTGTTAACTTGTGAGTAATCTTTACACGCTGTGTGTACTGTGCGTTAACTTGTGAGTTATCTTTACACGCTGTGTGTACTGTGTGTTAACTTGTGAGTTATCTTTACGCGCTGTGTGTACTGTGTGTTAACTTGTGCGTTATCTTTACACGCTGTGTGTACTGTGCGTTAACTTGTGAGTTATCTTTACACGCTGTGTGTACTGTGTGTTAACTTGTGAGTTATCTTTACGCGCTCTGTGTACTGTGCGTAAGCTTGTGAGTTATCTTTACACGCTGTGTGTACTGTGTGTTAACTTGTGAGTTATCTTTACACGCTGTGTGTACTGTGTGTTAACTTGTGAGTTATCTTTACATGCTGTGTGTACTGTGTGTTAACTTGTGAGTTATCTTTACACGCTGTGTGTACTGTGTGTAAACTTGTGAGTTATCTTTACACGCTGTGTGTACTGTGTGTTAACTTGTGAGTTATCTTTACACGCTGTGTGTACTGTGTGTTAACTTGTGAGTTATCTTTACACGCTGTGTGTACTGTGTGTAAACTTGTGAGTTATCTTTACACGCTGTGTGTACTGTGTGTTAACTTGTGAGTTATCTTTACATGCTGTGTGTACTGTGTGTTAACTTGTGAGTTATCTTTACACGCTGTGTGTACTGTGTGTAAACTTGTGAGTTATCTTTACACGCTGTGTGTACTGTGTGTTAACTTGTGAGTTATCTTTACACGCTGTGTGTGCTGTGTGTTAACTTGTGAGTTATCTTTACACGCTGTGTGTACTGTGTGTAAACTTGTGAGTTATCTTTACACGCTGTGTGTACTGTGTGTTAACTTGTGAGTTATCTTTACATGCTGTGTGTACTGTGTGTTAACTTGTGAGTTATCTTTACACGCTGTGTGTACTGTGTGTAAACTTGTGAGTTATCTTTACACGCTGTGTGTACTGTGTGTTAACTTGTGAGTCATCTTTACACGCTGTGTGTGCTGTGTGTTAACTTGTGAGTTATCTTTCCGCGCTGTGTGTACTGTGTGTTAACTTGTGAGTTATCTTTACACGCTGTGTGTACTGTGTGTTAACTTGTGAGTTATCTTTCCGCGCTGTGTGTACTGTGTGTTAACTTGTGAGTCATCTTTACACGCTGTGTGTACTGTGTGTTAACTTGTGAGTTATCTTTCCGCGCTGTGTGTACTGTGTGTTAACTTGTGAGTTATCTTTACACGCTGTGTGTACTGTGTGTTAACTTGTGAGTTATCTTTACACGCTGTGTGTACTGTGTGTTAACTTGTGAGTTAACTTTACACGCTGTGTGTACTGTGTGTATGCCGTGTGTGTGTGTGTCTGTGTGTGTGTCTGTGTGTGTGTGTCTGTGTGTGTGTGTCTGTGTGTGTGTGTCTGTGTGTGTGTGTCTGTGTGTGTGTCTATGTGTGTGTGTCTGTGTGTGTGTGTCTGTGTGTGTGTCTCTGTGTGTGTGTCTATGTGTGTGTGTCTGTGTGTGTGTGTCTATGTGTGTGTTACTTGCAGGGTCTTGGGGTGCTGCTGGCGGCAGCTGAAGCGTCCAGAGCCCGGGCGACGCAGGGGGGTGTGTGGGGTGGTCTCTCTCTCTCCCTGTCTCTCGATGTCGTGTCTGTGTGTCTCTTTGTGACTCTGCCTCTTGTCCACGTGAGTTGCTATATGCCCCGATGTCCCCGTATCTGTCTTTACGTCTCGCTGTGGCCCTATGCGTGCTGTGTGTAATGTTGTCTCTGTGTCTTTGTGTGTGTCTCTCTCTCTCTCTCTGTCTTTCTATCTGCCTCGGTGTCTCTCCGTCTGCCTCTCCCTGTCCTCGGTGTCTCTCTGTGTATGTCTGGTTAACCACTCTGTACGCCGTCTAAATATCGTGTCGTAGGTATACAACGCCTCTCCACGTCGCTGCGTCTCTCTCTAAATGTCCATCTCCCTCTGTGTATGCTGCACACCGCCACGTCTCACGTATCTGGGCCCTTGCGTGCCACTGTGTGTGTGCAGATACTGCGTCTTTGTATCCCTGTGCCGATGCATCTCGGTGCAATATCTCAACGCACCTCTGAATGTTCTCTACGCATCTCTGCGTATCTGTAAACTGCAGCGTGTGTCGCTACGTGTCCACGTGCTCTCTCTCTCTACTCTGTCTCTCGACGTGTCTCTGTGGCTCTACGTTGTCTCTCTACGCCCCTGTCTCTCTGCCTCTACGTTGTCTCTCTGTGTCTCTCTCTACGTGGTCTCTGTGTCTCTCTCTGCGTCTCTCTACGCCCCTCTCTGTCTCTACGTGTCGCTCGGTCTCTCTACGTGGTCTCTGTGTGTGTCTCTCTCTCTACGCCCCTCTGTCTCTACGTTGTATCTCTACGTTGTCTCTCTACGTGCCTCTCTCTACGTGTCTCTCTGTGTGTCTCTCTCTGTCTCTACGTTGTCTCTCTACGTGGTCTCTGTGTCTCTCTACGCCCCTCTCTGTCTCTACGTTGTATCTCTACGTTGTCTCTCTACGTGGTCTTTCTGTCTCTCTGTCTCTCTCTACGTGGTCTCTCTCTGTCTCTCTGCGCCCCTCTCTGTCTCTCTGTGTCTCTCTATCTCTCTCTACGTGGTCTTTCTCTGTGTCTCTCTCTGTGTCTCTCTCCGCCCCTCTCTGTCTCTCTCTACGTGGTCTCTCTCTGTGTCTCTCTGCGCCCCTCTCTGTCTCTCTGTGTCTCTCTCTACGTGGTCTCTCTCTGTCTCTCTCTACGTGGTCTCTCTCTCTGTGTCTCTCTGTGTCTCTCTGCGCCCCTCTCTGTCTCTACGTTGTCTCTCTACGTGGTCTCTCTGTCTCTCTGTGTCTCTCTGTGTGTCTCTCTGCGCCCCTCTCTGTCTCGAAGCCTCCGGTCGCTCCGCGCCATGGCGCCTCTTGCCCGATCGCGTCCGGGTCACGGGGGCGCGCGTGACGTCACCGGCACGTGACCGGAGGAAGCGGCCAGCTGGGGGGAGGGCACGTGACTCTCGCTCGGCGACCACGTGACCCCCCCCCCCCTCCGGAGGCCATTTAAACTCGGAGCACGTGGCTCGTGGATGTCGAGATTATCGGCAAGCGCCAGGGGCTACTGCCAGTTTTTACAATCGACTCGACATGCTCCTCACTAACACTGTGGCCTTGTTAGGAAATATAAATGTAATAGGCAACGTTTCGGGCAATGGCCCGTCTTTAGAGCACATAGGTAAGGAGAGATGGGAGTGGGTAAGATTTGGAGACTGCACTATATACTGCGGGCCTGATAATAATTAAACATTTTTCATTACAGTGAGTACAAATGTATAAACATTGATTCTTGCACATGTGATGCGATGCGATGCATTTAAATATAATGCCCAGCCCTGTCAATCCACTGCTGGACGGATGCCGTTGTCTGTCATTGGGCGGGCGTTGCTTGGCCATCCATACTTTACCAAGCTGGTCAGTGAATGTTGGAAGGTGGGGGCAGGACTGGTTGAGATACTCGCCACCGATGTTAGCCGTGGCTGGGAATCGAGTTCATCGCAGCGCAGTGCGTGAACCATGACATGAACGCTCCCCAAACCTTAACACAAAGATCCCCGTGTTGGACTTCCAGGCTGTTAGGGCAGATTCTGTGAGCAAGGACCTCCAAAGGACAGCACGACGCAAGAGGGCGTGGTGTATCCAGGACAGTGCGCTAACCACTTCGCCACCGCTCACCTCAATGCATCATGTACCTTGAGATAACAAATCTACATTAACCAAGGCTAGTTGCATGGCAATTTAAATATCTTAATCTGCAATTAATGATTAATTAATCAGATATCTTGAAAGGAGGTGAGAGTATGCACTGCACTTTCTACTCCACCGTGACTGGCCGATCAGCTGTGGTGTGCCAAATGGACAGAAGCGGAAGAGGTTTAAGAAAGTGCCCAAATTGTCTTTGCTTAACCCATCGTGGTCATCAATGCCCGGGGAAGCGTGAACTCGCAGGCTCGCACAGCAAACGACACGCGGCGCGAAATTCGCTTCAACGCATTTTTATTTCTGTGAAAATCCAGTCACCTTGGCAACACCGCGTCTTTAAGACCCTGCCCTGGCCAGACCCTCCCTATCTCCCTCTATCATCACCACCCACCATCACCATCGTTTCACGTGGCACCTTCCGACCAGGTGTCTCAGCGTCGACCCACCCCATCTCACCACCAATGTGAGCAGCTGAAAGTTTGTGTGTGGGGGGGGGGGGGAGAAGGGGGTGGGGGCGGGGGGACATCACCTCTCAATGTCGCCACCTCTTGCACTGCCCAAACGAGGGCCCAATTCTCAAGTCAGCCGAAGTCTTATCACAACTGTGCACTTTACCAAAATACAAAGCAATTCCTGCCACCAATTCCCGTGAGGTGTTGGCACATCGCTCACCGACCAACGGGCCACCACCTCTGCTCCTCAGCCCGAGTGTCCTGTGACCAAGCCGGCCTCAGGGTCATCCCGGCTGGACTCTTGTTAGGCGGTCAGCGAGCGAGCGAGCGAGGCGGTCGAGGGAGGGAGTTCGGTCACCGGGCCAAGGCGCGAGGGCGACGTCGTGGGATGGTCGGCAGCGGAGCCGCAGCTCGGGAGACGAGGCCCACGAAGCGGCAGTGTGCGGGAGTTGAGTGCTCAAGGATAAATCGTGTTATAGTAGTCAAGAGTATACAATCTATATCTCCATTAGTCTATATTATATATTTATATATATCTCCTATGTATAAAGGTCCCGCGAAACCATCACTCATCATCATCGTCGTCATAAACAGGAATAAGTTGTTAGGATTGTTTTGTTTGTTTTCTTCTTGGTGTTTCTTACATGGGTGCACGGATTTTA